GTTGTGTGTATATATATATATATATATAGTTGTTGTAGTGCTTTTGTTTTGTTGTGTGTGTGTGTGTGTGTGTGTGTGTGTGTGTGTATAGGCAAACACTTTTAGGTCTCCTCCACTGCCCTAATTTTGGACAGACTCAACATGATGCATCAGCTGCCATGCTCCTGTAGGATGCGTTTATGTTACTCCCGCTTGCACGCACACGGACCACAGGCACACCCTGAGAGAAGGGTAATAAAAAGAAGGCAAAAACACGTGTGATCGAAAATGAGACTCCCATCCTCCTAAGGTCAGGCTCTTTACTCCCTCTTGCGTGATCGTGTCTGTCGTGCATTTATTTTTTGGGCCGCTTTCCCTTCGCTGCCGGCTTTTTGGCCACCGGAGAACGTGTGCGTTTGGTTCCGCAGCTCTTTCCCTTTGGTTTCTTGTTTTCGCTCTCACCCTCTGCAGTCTCGGGAACATCCTCAGAACCCTGATGTTGCTCCTCTTCTGTTCTATCAGCAATCGCCTCCTCATCCTCGTTTTCAACAGTGACCTGCTCCTCTACTTCTGCTGAAGCCGCTACCTCGGGTCTATCAGCCACGTCAGTCGCATCTCTCTCATTCAGTTTTTCGTCTTCGTCTTCGTCTTCGTCTTCCTTCTCCTCTCCTCCCGTTGTTATTTGTGTCATTGACTCTGCCGCTGCTACCACATCCCCTGCATCGTGTGCTTCCTCCACCGTTGTATCCGCTGCAGGCAAAGGGGCGGGTGTTGTTGCCTCAGTGGAGGCTTTGGCGTCAACCTCCGCTACTTCGTCATCACACTTTTTGTCGGCCGCAGTATCCATCGTTGTATTAACGACGTCGGTGGGGTTCGTAGAGTTCTTTGTCGATGATGCCTTCGCCGACGAGGAGGCTGAAGAGGATGAGGATGACGACGAGGATGAGCCGTCATCATCATCTTCATCGTCTGTGACGCCGATGTCGGCCGGGTTCAGCACTCTGCGTGAAGCAAAGGGCGTCGACCGCCGCGGCGCAACCGTCGTCTTCTGCACTTGACCTTTCTCACTTGTCTCGTTTTCGTGGCGCTCAGACGGGGACTCACCGGACTTGTTGCCATCGCTCTTCATCTCACCTGCGTGATTGTCCTTTTCACTGCGCTTCTTGTCGGCATCCTTTTCGACATTACCATCCTCATTTTTGTTGCGGTCAGCGTCGTCGTCGTCGGAGATGCTAGCATCAACGCGTGCAAGAGGCGGATTGTTGGACGGAGCGGGTGCTACTGCTTCACTATTAGATGTGCTGCCACCAGCGCCCTCGCGTCGCCGTGCCGCATCCATCCGCTCACGTGCACGTTGCTCACGATCCTCTGCGGCCCGTGCAAGGCTCTCCCGCTCCTTCTCCAACACACGTTCGCTAAGGCGATGCCGCTCCTTCTTTGTCATTGACATTAGCTCTACGTGCTTCCCAGCAATTAACTGCCGCAGTTGGGTCTCCGTGTGATGCCGGTGGAGACAGTTGGTGCGGGAGCAGTAGTTGTGAATTAAGAAATGCGCACAGAGCTGCTGTTCAAAGAGTTCTACAGGTTTGCTGTTCTCAACCTCCGAACCTTTGGTCTTGAGCATCAACACAATACCCTCCTTGCAGAACACATACCTTGGATTCTTCGTGACGGGGGGTATCTCGTGCTCGCGTAGCCACACTGTACAGCGCGGTCCTGGCATTGTAGCACACATCAACTTTTGCCGCGGGTCCATGTACATCTCTAAAATTTCGGGAGGGATAGGCGGAAGATTAGGCAACGCCTCAGGCTGATCACGCACCGGGGCCTGAAACTGACCATGAGAGTACATGCCTCGGGAACCACCGCCTCTGTGCCCCATCATTGCGGCTGGCACCCTCCCCATGGTGGGTGTGCCAGAGTATGAATTAGGAGTCGGCATCAACCCCGCACTGCGACCTCCCATTGCCATCATGGGGTTGAAGTAATTGTTGTTATACCCCATCGAGGGGGCTTGCGGCATGAGACCAGCACTGTTCATCATCATATTTCCACCGGCTGGAACATTACCACAACCCCTCATCATACCGCGGTTGAAATTCATTGGAGGTGGTTGCTGAAGTGGAGAAGCATGCAGTGGCATCGACGAACGTTGCTGCTGCTGCTGTTGCTGAAGAAGTTGTAGAAGCAACGCCTGATTTAAGTTTGTGCCAGCGGCGTTAAAAGCAGGATTCTGACGCGTTCCGAGCGTCTCTGCCATTCCCGCGATGCCCGTCAATAATTGTTGCTGCGGCTGCGACTGCTGCTGCTGCTGCGGTGACTGCTGTGGTTGTGGCTGTAACGGCAACTGTGGCGGGTTGTGTGACGGAGGGGGTGGTTTGTTGGCATCGTAGCATCGCTTCAGCAAGAAATTCTGGTCCTCTATGCAAACGCGACGAAATTCGTTGACGGCTGTAATGACATCTTCAGGGGTCTTTCCGCCTGGAATCATCGCCGCCGTGCTGGGGTCATTGACGAGCTGGATGGGCATGTCGAAGAGGTAGAAGGAGCGCGACAACTCACGCGGGGAGGCGAAGTTGAGAATTTGCACAGGCTTGGTTTCACCCGGCGCCGGCGTGTGCCCTGGCACCCACAGCGTGCGTCCTCCCGTGATATAGAGAAAGATGCTGCTGCTCACAGCCATATCCTAGAAAACCAGAGGGAAAAGATCTACCCGTAGCGCATCCATGTTTGAAGTGTAAAAGAAAGACAAGGAGAGACACGTTGGGAACACAAGAAGAAAAATTTAAGATGCGATGGCATTTGGGTAAAAAAACAACAACACACACATGTAAAAGCAAGCAAACACACACACACACACACACACACACACACACACACACACACACACACACACA